ACGCGATCGATCGAGGACGCGCGCGGGCGTCAAGTGCAAGTTCACCGGAACTACGGTGCACCGGTTCCTCCGTTTCCGCCGCGCATCCGCCTCTTTCAGGACGCACCTGACCGGAAATTAAGTTGGCTGCTCGAGGAAGGCTAGAGGCGGCCCCCGCGGTATCGCCAATTGGTGTTATTAATCGGCCGTCGCGACGGCGGACGTCGACGCGTTTCCTTCTTCGACGCCGAGGAGAGAGACTCATCTCTTGGCATCCGTCACCTACGTTCCGCCGCCGCCGGCAGTAATTACGAGTTATGTTGTGTAATTTGCGGTATATTCGCTAATCCAGCCGACGCCGCGGTCTAATTCGGGCGAAAACATTTGGACGGGGTCCGCGAGGCCTCCGATAATAAATTCCGCCGATGGACGACGGCTCAATGAATGCGAGTAAATCTTGCTGGCATTCAAACCGGGGTACGGCGACGAGATAAGTCACACCGAATTACATTGTATTACGTTACATCATACGGGCAAGATCCTTGTCATTCGTTGAACCGCCTCGATATCGTCAAAAAGATACGCGTATCTCAACGATTCGCGAGAATTGGTTGCGCTCAGCAGAAAAAGGCTGCTTTGCAACTGTTGCAAATTCACGAATCTGATTGGCGCGTGTGCGCTTAAGTTCATTCAAGATTGAGAGAATACGCCAGTGAGATTCACGAATTTTACAACAGTTGCAATTAAAGCAGCTTTTCCGCCGAACGCAGCCATTTTGGCTCAAGTAAATTAGTCGATTCTGTTTGCAACTGATTAAACAGCTCGGACTGACTTCAGAAAATGTACTGTTAATTTATTGTTAAGTGCCATAATTATTAAATATTAATAACTGATTAGCTATCTCTCTCGTTCGGGTATCATACTGATTTCTTTGAGAACTTTTGCTTTTGAAACTCTCGCTGCATGTTCTTGCGCGAGCAACCAGATCTTCAGTTCCTCCGCGAAAATATATGTTCCAACGGTGTCCCTGGTTCCAAGTATAAACCGGATATTAATTTAAAAAAGCATTATTTTTATTTTCTTCAAAAATCTTATTCTCGATGCTTATTTTCATTACGAGTCATCGTGGAGTTCCCGATCGATCGTATATATTGCTATTGTGTCGGGTCTTTCTCGCGCGATGCCATAACGCGTAGCGCGGCGAGCTTCGAGGCTAGGCTTAAAGCTTGAAGAAGAAGAAGTAAAGGAGGAGGAAGAGGAAGAAAGATTATGTAAGAGGGAACAAGTCCGTTCGGCTGGGTTCTTCATTCCAGGTTCTATACAACATCCTCTTCGTCGCTTCTCCTTGTCGCACTTTCTTCGTCGTCGCACACCATGCGCCGCCATGCTACCTTAGTCCTCCACGCCTACCCCCTCACCCCCTCGCCACCATGGCTCGCTTCTGGGGCTGACGGCAGCTATTTTCGTTTCCCAGCGACAATATAGCAGCTTCGGCTTAGGCCGCTCTTGCCGAGCTGAGCCTCGGTCCACCTCTCCCTGGCTCTCTTTCCTTCGGCAGTTTCTGCTTCTTATTTATGGAATCTCTTACCTCTGAAATTATTTCCTCGCACCCACTATCGCCTTCTCTGAATCATCGTCACGTCGATGGCGAATTGCGGAATGCCGCCGGCTAAGGCAATCGAATAACGCGTGATCGTACACCGCGTTTCACGAAACGCGGTCGTAATTTCGAAGGGGAGGGGGGAAGGGAGGAGGGGATGAATTTAACACGTAGAAATAGCGAGAAAGGTCTGAGCTCATGAATGTTTGTTTCTTACCCGACCTAGGTGCAGACGCATGGTTCGATAATTCTCGAAAGTCGTGTGGACATAAGCGGAAAGGCGAAAACAGAAATGGGAACGTCTTCGAAGTGTCGTCTACCTAGTTTCTGTTCTCGACGTTCCTTCGCATTCGTTTCATTTTGATGTTTAAATTTAATATTAGAAATGACTTTGGTATTTCTTTGTGTAAGAAGTAAAGAACCTGTAACGTTTTTAAGATTGTTTCGGCCCGCAGAAAGTTTGAAATTTTTTTTATATGGCCCACGAATCGAACAAGGTCGGCCATGCCTGCTGTTAGTGAAATAAACTCGAAAAGTTTATTTTTGTGTATACGCGGTGCAAGCTCGAGAGGCATCGCAGCGATGTTCCCCGCGTTTGATCACGAGATCACAATTACCGAAGAGGATAATACGAGGACACATTGGCTAAATGAGAAGTGACGTCCCAGATAGCAGTGCGTGTCTGAAAGACGTCATAAAGATATCTTTTAAGACACCTCTTAGACGTGCATGTCTAAGGGGCAACTTAATGCGGCCTTAAAGATGTCTTTAAGACACGCAGGCATCTGCAGACATAAGACAACTTTAAGACGGCATTAAGTTGTCTTTTAGACATGCTATCTGGGGACCACCTGATAATATTGGACAATGTTAGGAATATTAGATTTACATTATTTTTATGCCAATATATTGTGCTACTAAGTATTTCTTCCTTTTCAGTTGACGCCGAACGCAATATAACAATTCGGGACCTCGCAACGCATCCTCTCGCTCTCGCCGATGTCGTTCCGATTTCTGCAGCTGGATGCAACCGGGTGAGACCGCGGCGATGTGAGCGTCTCGTCGCCTTATTCGTGTACGCCTCGCGTTCCCGTGACTCGTATATTTGTGCATGTCGCTCGTCAACGCACATTTATCCGCCCTAGGCCAGCTATGCGCGAGCGAATGACGTCAAGTAACACAATCATCGTCGAGAGCCGCAATCTCCCCGAGCCCCCTTTTTCCTTCGCCTTCGTTACGGCGAAGCGGCGGTGATCTTCCTCTTCCGTCCATCCTTTAAATAAAGAGTTACCTCTGCACACTCGCTCTTATGCGATTTCATCTATGGTTTCATATCGTTAAATTATTCTTTTAATTATTTAGCACATCGTTAGTTTACACTTTATGGATACACGGTACCAGAGCCGGGACTAGAGCATGGCGAACGAGGCACTTGCCCCATGTAAGAGATTTGTGGGGGCGCAAAAATGGTAACACAAATTTTTATAATTGATAATTAGCGATGTTCTAATAAAATTAATATTAATCTATTAAATAGAAGTAATTAAAATTATTTTTTGTTATAATTTATATGCCGTGAAGGAAATATTTTTTGTTACAAAGGGGCGCACTTCTTTCTTCGGCCTCGAGCGCCAAAATGTCTAGTTCCGGCTCGGCACGGTACGGCGCATTAATTCGGTTCGGATAATAATTAGGGATAGATAAAAATTACTCGACTCTATTTAACAGCGGTGCTTTTTATCGATGCGAACCGAACTGGACGTAGGTATTTTACAGAATCGAAGACCGTGAACGTGGCGTGTTACCCGCTGGAAATACATACCGTGGGTACGTAATTCAACGCGCACGTTTTGTAGAGGCGCCAGTGAATGGACTTCGTCCAATACGTTCAGTTAGGCTTCCTCTTGGTATTACGCGCGAATTGGCGTAGGTCATAGGTGATCGTTGTGCAGTAAAAACAGACATTTTTATTCTTTATAAATTAGCACGATTGTTCAAACTCCAAAAGAATTTTTTTCCGAGACGCGTTCTCATTAGAATTGACATAAAAGGAATGCTTTTTGCATTCAAAAAAAGAGCTCGGGCAAACGGAAATGCGACGGACGAAGAATTCATTTCATATATAATCCAGTAAAACTGTTTTTTTATTCCCTGTGCTACCCAAGGCGCTGTGCGACTTTTCAATGCACGCTCTTTTACGCAGGGTTGGGAAGTAGCTCGTTACTTGTAACGAAGTTATAGTTACTTCTTTTTGATAACTCTAAGGTCCAGTTTCACAAACGTCGGTTAACTGTTAACCAGAGTTCAATCGACTTCCTATCTTTCTCTATCTTGTTATCCAAGAAGAGACAGAGGATCAATTAACCATGGGTTAGCGGTTAAACGACGTTTGTGAAACTGGCCCTTACTTAACTTTGTTACTTTCTCTCCATCTGTAACTATAACTTAACTCAGCTACATTTTGTCGTAGAGTTTTCTATGAAAAATAATGGCAAATACAATCGGTTTATTATCGTCACAAAAAGTGATATTCAGGTCGCGTCGCTGACTCGACTCGCGTAGTGTCGCGCAGTAGCGCAGGGGCCGCCGGGTATCGACGCCATGTCTATTCGCCTCGATCGTTCCAGCGATATTCGACCACGATTTATCAGCGATTGATGAATGCTACCAGTTTATATATGTTTTACGGAATTTACAAATGAAAATCCATGCGCGACATTAAAGTTTCGATTATTTTCGTACAATTGTGTCCCGATTAACCGTCAACTCATTGTCAGTTGCGTCGTTAACGGGCCAATCTGTCGCAACCTCGAGACTCTCGTATGGAATTTCGCATCCCCTTTTGACAGGACCAACTTTTCGGCTAACTTCCGAGTTAATAAATATTTAAGTAGCACTGTCTCGCTCACTCGCGACAGTCCCCAGCGAGAAAATCGTTTCGACATCGGTCGACCGAGTCATTTCTCGCCGGGCAATCTTTTCACAAACGACTCTGTACAGAAACTTCGTTGAATTTATCTATAATTCCGGCCAAATGCCGGGTGTAAAACAATTAAATTCCCGATCGGAATCCATTCCCAGTACGTTTCCATGATAGAACAGAGGAAAGTCCTCTATCACGAGATAGGCCTCTAACGTAAGACAGCAGGTTTTTCAACGTCCGAATTCAATCGCGATGACTCTTTCTTCGCGACGATATTACACGATCCAGCGGTGCACTTACCACCAAACGGACTTCACTCCGGGGGCGAATAAATTCGGAAACCCCGCTGTCCCGTGTTAGGAACATTATAGGACACTTCACCTTGACATCTGCTCCCCCGAGTTCTCCGATTCGTTCTGCGTTCACCGTCTCGTTCTGTTTACCGCTTTGCCGTCGCGCTCGTCGGCCGACCATAACCTGCAAGTCGCTCGTGTCGCCGCGCTCGTTCGTCCGCGACCGATTCGCGACCTGTGCTGCAGCGACGGTGCCCCCCCGGCGATTTCCACGGCGAAGCTCGGCCACGCCACGTGTAGTCCACGGCGGGGACGGCGCCCGGTCCTCAAATCGTACCCGGAAGTATGCCTGAACGAGGGTCGGGAGCGAGCTGCATTAGCCGGAACGTAGGTTAAAGCGCGGGGTGACCGTCGGTGGAGAGCGCCGATCGACTTGGCGCGCGATGGACGTGGAGAAGATTGCGATGTTCGCCGGCGTCGGCTTCGCCATCGCCGTCGGCCTCTTCGTCCTCTGGGGCCCGTCGCCCAAGCCCAGGAAAAAAGGTGACTTGCCCGGACCGACGTTCCGAGCGTCCGGCGAGACAACGTCCTTTCGCCTCCGCCTCTCGTTTAAACCGGGAGTTACCGACGATACCTTTCAAATGTATCTCTGTTGTATTCGCATAATTGTGCAAAGGGCCGCGTATGAGTTGCCTCGAAGATTTTGTATTGGGTTTATTGAAGGATTTAGTCTGCTTTTTAATTCCGTTTGTTTTCAATGGGCACGGTGGGAACTGAAGTTTGATGTTTAATTGTGACTCTGTTCCGATTCCAGGTCAAGTTGTCGGGATCAACAATTTGGGATACACGTGTTTCCTGAATTCCCTCTTGCAAGCGCTGGCTGCTTGCCCCGCGTTTATCATCTGGCTTCAGAGACACCACGGGAAGAAGGATAGAAACTTTGCCGACACGCTGCTTTCCGTTCTCAAAAGTATGACTCTGATCTCGCGCTGTCTTCGCTACTTGAACTTTTGACTTAAATTTGTAATGTCTGGTCCTCTTAAATGTTACATCTCTCTCGACTCTTTCCTATTTGTCGCTCGACAGCGCCAAGACTCATCTGGAGGTGTCTTTTGTGCTCAAGTCTAATATTTAGAATGTTTTTCTTTTTTATTTTCTGTATTTGTGTTTTTATATCCTCGTTACGTTGTGCTGATCTGTGTCTACCCGGCAGAAATCAACGGGTTTGCGGACGACCTGTACGGCAACGTGACGCCCGTCGAGGTCATCTCTTCCGTCGGCTCGTTGTGGAATTTCGGGCCTGGTCATCAAGACGCCCACGAGCTGTTCCACGTGGTCCTCAGCGCTTTAGATGCTGAAGCGCAACCAGCGAATAGGGTACGCGATATTCCGACGTAACGTTGCGCGAGAGAAAAAGAAGATTGTTGCCTCGAAAAGCTTTTATTGCCAATCGCTGAAAGGTTTCTGCGCGATTTCAGAAAGGCTGCCTGTCCGATGCACTGCCACCAAGTCCGATTATCAAGCCGGACGCACGAGGGACGGGCGACAACCTGAATCTCAGAAGCGCCTCCTGCAACGACATCGCGTCGGCGAAGAACAATTCTGACAATCCGAAGGGCTTCGACAAGAACTGCAACAATCAGATGATGACCTCGACCTCGTCCGTAGCTAATGTGTCCCCGAGCACGTGCAAACCCGGCATGATACTCGCCAGATCCTCGGAGATACTGTCGCGAGGCATTCAAAGCAACGGCGACTGCACGAGCCTCTTCAGATCGTGGAAGTCTTTGTGCGCTATGCCGTTCAGTAACATTCCCTCGGTGTCGGTGGAGACGCATCCGTTCTCGGGTCTGATCACAAGCCAAATTCAGTGCGGTGACTGTTTCTGGAAGGTATCGTCGCAAAAGAGAATCAGTTCTCATCACTAGTCCCCGTCTAGCTTCCTTCGTGTGATCTTTCCTTTTAATATTCCAACATCAATTTTCTTTCAAACCGAACCAAATGCTCGCCATTAGTAATGTATATTCCATTATACATAGAATCCTAATATGGGATAGCGGAGTAAATTAATAGGCACCGTCGGTTGATTCCACCGTGAATTTATTACCCTTGGAGCGAAATCTATTTAGTAGAAAATTCATTGTTGGATCGTGTAATTGTTGCGAGAAGATTTGTGGTCAAATTTGGGTGTTAAAAACTTACTATCTCATATTAGAAACCTTTGTCTCGTAGAGAACTTTCCTCCATTGCTTAATTTTCATTGCTCTCGTTCTCTGTCGAGATAATTTATAGTTCTGACAATCTTGGGCCGATATTCAGGTCTTTTATTCAAGACCGTCTTCAGACAATCTTTAGATACTCTAGCCAATGAAATGTTCCGTGCAGCGTCCTTGGATAAATTCAAGACGGTTTTAAATGTAAGATCTATAAATACCGGTTTAACATTCTTATTTTACTAATAAGATTCATTCTTAATAACGTATGAATGTTATTCTTCACTTCTTTTCTTTGCAGTCTTCAGTGCATTACGATAAGCTTGAAACCTTATCACTACCGCTACCGCCGCTCACTTCGTCGTTCGTGCCGCAGCATCACACTTTAGAGTGGCTGCTGTCGCGCTTCGTAGACAGTGAAATTGTGCGCGACGTGCAATGCGATGGATGCTCGTCGCGTTGCACCGCCATCAAGACTCTCACTCTCGGTAAACTGCCCAAGTGTTTGTGCTTGCACATCCCAAGGACCACATGGAGCTCCTCGGGCATGCCAATTAAAAGGGACGATCAGATCACGTTCCCCGAATTTCTGGTGCTAGATCCCTACACTTATACGGAGACGAAAAAGAGAAGCGCGCAGGTGACTTATTAGATCTAAGTTTGTCAAAGGTGAAATTCGCTGGGTTAATTTACAGCTCGAACTAATTTACAAACTTAATTTACAATCCTACGTACGCAGCTTTCAGTCTAAATGTACGATTGAGCGGCGCAATTAATTTAATCTTGATTCTTTGTAGGGCGACGCAAAGTTTCTCGGTAACAGTTTCATGACGATACAGGGTAAACACAAGTACCGGCTGTGCGCGGTGATCGAGCACCGCGGTCCGGTGGATTCCGGCCACTTCGTATGCTTCAGACGCGGAAACAAGGCGGATCAATGGCTGTACACGTCCGACGTCATCGTCGAGAGCGTGTCGCTTACGCAGGTGCTGCTTGCCAGCCCGTACCTGCTGTTTTACGAGCGCATCAACAGCGTTTATCCTAGCTAGGAACAAATTTTCAAAGTGATAGGCAATCTATAAGAATTACGAAATGACGCGCTGATTGATAACCGATCCCGCGCTCTTTTTAGCCATGCTTTCTCCCTTACGCTTTCAAAGCAATGCAGTCGTGTGCAATTATGCAACGGAAATCCATGGGAATGGGTAGAGTTGCAGGGTGTTATGAATGAGGAGTTATAAGCGTAGAAAACACAGCTAGAAAGAACGGAGGATCTGCGAAATACAAGAGACTGTCGAATTTTCCATAATGAGTTTAGTATCGTTCGATGTTGCGCGATAATCCTTTGTTACAACATGCGAGGCGTGTGTCCCTAAGTGATATTTTAAAGCAGCAGCAAAATGTATCGAGTAACATAATCTGAAAATCAGATGTATTTCATTCGCGACGGGCGCGTCAATAATTGCCATTATTAGACGCCGACAAGTAATGCCGGAACGTTCCGGTTTCGTGAAACAAAAAATTTCTTGCTTCTGTAACACGTAGTGATGGTAGAATTTCTACAAAGAGAGACTGTTAATTCTCACATAAATCCTTTGATTTGGTCAGTTCATTAAATCTTAATTTTAACAAGGACTAAGATCGTGCCAATAACGAATCCTTCGAGTTAAATTTATTAAGGGGGATAAGCGAGAGATGATCTTGTATTTTTTATTACGTTTTATATTTGGAGCTTTTTGAGCTCCTCGCGCGTATAGTGCAATTGCAAATACTATTATCGAAGACTGCGAATTTATTTGTATATATTAAAGAGTCCTTTCCTTTTTCTCTGGTGGGCATAAAGGAATATGCCAATTACCAGGATGAATTTACTTTAAGGACATTAGGTACGTAATCGAGTAATTTAAAGTCTTATGAAATGCATATTAAAGTGAAATAAAATTTAGACTGCAGGAACCGGACATACTTCGTCAACAGTGGTGGCCTTTCTCCCTTTCATAATTTAATTTTGTCTGAAACAATACGTTTTACTAAGGTGGTTTCGATCGAGCTTCTTAAGTTGTGAATTCTTTACGTTCTTTGTTTTACGTTTTTTAAGTAGTATACATATATCAAGCATGAATGTACTTTATATCAAATATATGCCGACTGGATTATTACACTCTACTGTCACGATTGTTATTTCGGTAAAAATTCAGCAAGAATATTACACTTTTGTTAATTTTTGTAATATTCTACAAATAAGCGGATGTTTTAATTCTTTAAGATTTTGTTTCTGAAATGTTTAAAACTAGTAAACTTTTGTACTAATTTTTACAAAATTGTACATTTCCATGAAATACTACTTGCAGTATTACAAAAATTAACAAAATTAAAAACACTTTAAATTACGTAGAATTTCTTAGATTCTGATAGTTGCTTATTTTCTTTTGGTAGAATTTTGTGGAATTATTTTCGACAGAGTGTACGTATGAGAATATAGACGGCACACCTCTACTAATATTTAAATATGATACTGGGAGCTTTCCAGCAAGCGACACAAGTCGACACATATGTCGTTCTGCCTTTCTTCGCATTCAATGAATAATAAAGACAGAATGACACTATCATTTCACTTTTCGTCGACTTCATAGTACCTTCAGCAAAATATAAGGCCCGGTCTACAATGAGTTGTTAGTCGTTAGTCAGAAGTCGGAACTATATGTCGGTCCTTTTTCTTCCACCCAGAAAGGAAAAGGATCAACATATAGTTCCGACTTCTGACTAACGACTAACGACTCATTGTAGACCGGGCCTAACTTTCACCACGGTACCTAACCTCTAATTGTACTCCAACTTGTCCTAAACGACAGTTGTGAATATTTTCACATCCGTGCGTCTCACACGCTTCCCTTTTCAACGCTACGCGTAAGCTACGGAGAGAATTGTAGAACACGCACGCAACTTACCCGAAAGCGTTGCGTTTCAATCGCGACGCTCGCGAATCCGTGAATTAGCGGTTCATTTCGCGTTGAGGTTAGACCGACGAAGTAAATTTCCCCGGAGTCTTCGGGGAAAGAGAGGAAGACCATGCGCCCGGCTGTGTAGCGGACGATAAGAGCGAAGGTATGCCGAAAGATGGTGCGTACAAGTGGCGCGTAAGAGGTGTTGATGATTTCACTTTGTAACAGGGACGCCCCTCGTCCTCGCTCGTCTCATTCAACAGTGTGCGACTCTTCTCGCGACCGACACAATCCAGCATGACCGCGCCGATCAGCACTGCCATGGATAGCCTGAGCGCCGCTCTCAAGTCCAACATCATCCCCAACCAGGAGTACCTGCTTCAGGGCTCGGTACTGGATTCCTCCGTGGAAGTGTTGCTGCACAGACTTCGCGGCTTGTGCGACAACGTGGACCACGGGCCAGAGGGCTTCAACGACCACGAGATGTGCTTCAGCATCCGCAGGTGGGATGATCCCTTTCATTCCGACTCCACGGGCGTCCACGATGGACGCACCTAGCTAAGCACGTTCTACCAGTTGCATAAAATTAATATTCTGATTTCCTACTCGACAATGTAACACTTGCACCCTACAGTTACATTACGTATTACATTTTCTTTCAACTGGGACGTGGCCTCTTGTCTACTGGCCTTTTTCTACTCGTATGGGTCAATGTTTCAATTTGTTATGTACTTATTTTAATTTTTCAATCTATTTACTATTTTGTCTCTACTTAATCAGTTTTTATTCATGGACATTGAATTACTGTGGTAGAAACATTATTTTTCGCTTTACTTTGAACGATATCATATTCGCTGTTTTCGTTTTGTATTTAATGTCCCTCATCCTCTGCTCGTTGCTTAACGATTACGTTGTTGAGTAGGAGATTGATATTGTGTAACTGTTAGTTGGTGTTTACTAAGCTGCGACAGACGTAATCGAGGTCGACTTGATGCGCATTGAAGTTGCAAGAGCTTGGTCCGGTATCTTCTTCAGGGGCTCCCCGCAGGAACAGCCGCTGCTGCTGCGAGTGCGACGTGCTGTGGATCCGGGCTACGCGGACATGCCGTGGCAGCTGCGCTACATCGGCCAGCCCGAGCTGGGCGACAAGTCGCGGCCGACGATCGTTCGCAGCAGCATCGACATCGCCACCAGCAACACCGTGGTGGAGTTCCTGACCGAGCTGGGCTGCAAGCTGGACTTCGAGTACATTACCCGCGGCTACATGTTCCGCAAGGGTCGGATGAAGATCACCGTATCGAAGATCATCAAGGTGAACCAAGGTAAAGTCCTGGAGCCGATGTCGGAGATGATTTCGCAGAGTTACCTGGTAGAACTGAGCGTGTTGGCTCCCAGCGGACAGGACGCCATTGCGGAGGACATGAGGATATTCGCGGAACAGCTGCGACCTTTGGTACAATTGGAGAAGATCGATTACAAACGATTAGTTCATTAATTGGAATATTGTTCCGTCACAAGAAATCGCTTCTAGATGAGATCTCGTGTGAACTTTAGTACGTCGAAAAATGGAGATATTCGCCTTGTAGTGTGCTGAATAAAAAGACGACGGAATTTTTCGGTAATTTAAGAAAATTGACAACATTTCTTATTTTATTATTAAGAGTATTCTTAATAATTTCTTATTTTAACAAGAATTTTGAACAAACGGATAAGAATTTGGTTAAAAATTGATTAGTCGAATCGAAGTCCTTTTGATGTTGATGCGCAAATAAGCGGTTGATATCAAATACTGATATTTTTGTCATCTTTGATCTTGTCATAGCTATTTTTATGTAAATGGCTCAATTATGAAGTGCGCTGTGTGCGACATAAAACTGGCCAGAAGATATAGAAGTCTTATAGAAATATATATTTTTATTTAAGGGTTTATTTTCATTCAGAGGCCAAATTGACTGCTTTTGGAAGTGGATTGTGAAGACGTTATACAACCGATTGAAATAAATCTTTATTTGTTTTAATAGTAAATTTTATCTTCCAATTTGCAAAGTTTGAATAACACTTTCCCTTCCATCTGTCTTGGTTTTGAATTTAGCGCGTTGAAAATAATATAAAAATCGTGGTAAGTTTCAGGCAATCCTTTCGAATCTTGCTGGGGACATCAACATTTTTCATAGAGTGTAAGTTAATGCCGTTAGTGTAATGCCGTTACCATTCTGTTGCCAAGAGCAAGTAACTAATAGTAATGACATTACGAGTAACGCATTACTTATTTCCAGTGTAAGTTTATATGATATTATCTTTTTTAAGAGGCGACTTTTAAGAGTATTCTTAATAGTTTATCTTTTTTGTTACAAATTTATTTTACTATTGCTCAAGAGCTGCATTCGGGGAGACGCTATTAGTGCGAAAACGTTAGGCTATCTTCGTTACTCACTATCGAGCAAAGATAAAAGACACTTAGCGCTAAAAGCGCGCTCCCCGTATGCACCTTAAATATGTCGATATAGTCACGCGTTTTTCTCTTACAATTATGGTACTTATTTCACGAATGCAAATTAAAGAAAATTATGGACTTGCGTCATACTGAAGTGACATTTTTATATTCGACCTTATCTGACTATAACTCGTAGTATATAAAGTATGCTTTTGGCTGCATTCGGAAAAACGCTATTAGTGCTAAAAGCACCAGTGTATCTTGGTCACTCACTTATATGTCGAATAAAGACAGAAGAAAGCGCTGAAAGCGCGCTCCCTGAGTGCACGTTTAAATAATTATTTGTGTTTGAGTATAGTAATTCTTTGTATTAATTACTTTATTAGTATTAACCCTTAAACTACACCGGGATCCAGGAGACCCCAACAAAAGTTTGCGTTTAAATATCTCCTATGTAAAATGTGAAGAAAAACTAACTATCGTTAGTTGAAGTCTTCCTTTTTAAGACTACACATTAGTTGTGGGTCCCAAGGTGCTAGTTGACTATACAGTGACAGCCGTTCGAGTATATTAATAAAAAAACTTGTACATGTGAGTTTGTGCATTTTTATATACTAGTTGAAAAGGTTTTGTATAGACACTTCAATAAAGCTTTCGCTTCTTATACTTAGTGTGATAACGGCCTTGAGGACGAACAAAATTGCATATTATAATAATTCTAACGAGAAGAAGGCTATGTCTTTCAAGGATCTGAAGGTAGAATACATCAAGGATGAACTTGCGGCTGAATTATTAAAATGGTATCCGTCCTATAAACGAGGTTTCATTAAAATCGGTCAGAAACAGTGGTTCTTGCCGTATAAATATGTTGAGAAGGGTGGCAATATATATAATTTCAAAATTCGTCCAGATGATACATGGCTTATTTCTCATCCTAGATCAGGTAAATTATTTTCTACGTTGGACTTTGAATCCTGTATTTGTAAGTAAAACAATTTAAAAGAGTGACTCTACAGCAACAACGTAAATTTTTTATATTGTCTAAAACATTATACAAAATTTTGCAAATTTTATATTGTGTAAGTGTCGCTTGGTGTGAGAAAAATTGTACCGAATATTAAATTGTATCTTTCAATGAAACGAAACTATCATACATTTCACGTAATCTCATTTCAAAAGTAATAAATTCTGAAATATTTTCGTAACTTCTTCTAACTTAGATATTCTTAAGCAAGAAAATATGATGTAAAATTTGAAATGTAAATTTATAAAAAAAATTGTACCTCAATGAACTATAGATTCGATCTTTTATTGTGAATAATCAGTTTGTCAGTTCCCTTTATTTTAAATTATTTAAAAACCAAATTGTTCGAATGGCACCGAAATTTGCGACGATAACTTTCATACTTTTGCAAAGAGTGTCACTCTTATTGAAACTTGAGTCAATGCTATCAAAACATAAAAATTTTGGAGGAATAAAATATAACGTGAATAATAAAACTATGGAAAAGAAAAGTATTTGTAATGTTATGTCGGAAAGTTAATTGTATTTACCTATTGACTAGGTACAACAATGACGCAGGAACTTGTATGGTTGATCGCCAATGACATGAATTTCGAAGAAGCACGTCGAAGATATTTAAGAGACAGATTTCCCTTTATAGAGTACAGTACAATATATATGTTATATATTTTACAGAGAATTACAGAAAAACATTTGCATTTCCTTCTTTAGTATAGAAAGAAAATTTCTTACGTAAATGCCAGAAAATTTTTATTTTCAAGCATTTATTTCATGGTATACTTTTATTCAGACTACATAAGATATTTCATCAGTTCATATTCCACTTTGGATTTAATAAAATATATTGTACATACGTGGAAAGCCTGAAATTAATTTCTTTTATTTTTCTCATAAACCGATGCTCATAAAACTATGAATCGCCAATTTCTGCATTTTTTAAACTATACTTTAGTTCATCAGAAAAACTTTTTCTTTTTAGATTGGCGACAGTATTACATGACCATGCGAACAGAGACTTACCTGATAAAGTTCATACTGAGCAATATAATCAGAACTATAGTGTCGAATTTGTGCAAAGTCAGTCTTCGCCGCGTTTCATTAAGAGTCACTTGCCTCTTGAACTGTTGCCGAATGTGGTAAACAGTACCTGCAAAGTAGTTACATTTTTATTTAATTGTTTTAATCTCATTTCGTGTGTGAAATCTAATACATTAGAATTAGATAACAAAAATTTCGAGACACTAATGTACATAAATTTTTCTTCCTAGATTATTTATATCGCAAGAAATCCAAGAGACGTAGTAAACTCGTGGTATACATTTCAGAAATCAATTTGCTATCAAGGATCTCTCGCACAGTTCTGTGGTGATTTCATTAATAATCAGAGTAAGATTAGTGAAGTGGTCGTTTTGTCATTTCAGCTCAATTTACTTTTTGTTCATTGGTTTAAAAATCTTATCTTCCGCAATTTTAGCAATATCTAGTCCCTATTGGGAACATGTAAAGGAAGCTTGGGCGATGAGACACAGAGCAAATATGATGTTTCTCTTCTATGAAGATCTGATAAAGGTGTGAGATAGAAGAAAATGCTATCTTATTACACCCACTCATAAAAGAAATAATTTTTTTAAATTATGTCATGAACAAATATGTTCTCTGAAAGTTATAGGAAGAAATAATTAAATATATTTTACTTTTGACCATTTTTTAAATTTGAAATATTAATATTCAGTTATATATTATTACTGGAGCTTAAATCATCTTAATAAAACACGATTAAATCATTCAAATCCGATGAGAAAATGTAAAAAAAATTAAAAGTACTACGTACCTCTAAGTTGAACTATATCCAGAGGGAAATAATTCGTCGATCGATGTCGAAACGACGCGACGAATTATTTCTCACTGTGTACTTAACATTTTTTATTATTTTGCATAGGACTTACCTAAAAACATAAGAAAAATTGCTGCATTCTTCGGTAAAAATTACAGCGATCAGCAGATGGCCAAGTTAGCGGAGCATTTGAAAATAGAGAATTTCCGAAAAAATCCAATGGTGAATCAGCCATCTCCTAACGGTACCATAAAATCTGAGTTGTTCATCCGTCAAGGAAAGATCGGTGGTTGGAAAGATATGTTTACACCGGAGATCGAAGAAAAATTTAGCAAATGGATTGCTGACAATTTAAAAGATACGGACTTGACTTTTCCAAGTTTGTTACAATGAAAGCAATTGTAGCTGCAATTTATGAATACTGTCTCCAAACAATTATAAAGCCCATTTTTGTCTTTGCAGTTCGAAACACGTCCGCATACAAAATTCATGTAATTTACATTATGTTTTTTTTATTATGAATTAATTTTTGTATTATTCTAAGTATGTCGACATACATGTATTTGTGCGTCCTCTTATAATTTAAGTATGGCACTTATGTCACTGGTGTAGGTACTTATGGCTAGGTAAGGTACTTATGGCACTGGTTTCATATATATGTAAATTAAGTAATATTATGAACTTACGACATACCGGAATTATATCCTTATACATTTGGCCTTTAACGTTGTCATATATCACGATCCACATAACGAAAAAGAAATATCTATTGTTTCGTTAAAATAATAAAAATAAAAAAGGTGCAAATTATTTGTCTTCTTCTAAGTATATTATGACATTTGTTTTACATATCTAAGTTAAGAAACATAATGAACTTACTTCCCACAGAAATTATAGCTTTATTTGCGGATCTATTTGATTATTTAAACAAATGATGACTTAATGATTATAAGTTTATTAGTATTTGTGTAGAAAATTTATATTATACCTGTAGATATGCATGCATATATGTCGCAATAAAGTAATATATTATTAAGTACTTCTATATTTGAGTACTTCTGTATTAATATTATCTATATTTGAGTACTTCTATATTAATATTATTGGTAATTGTGCATAAAAGCGACTTCCTCTCCGATTCGCTTGATTTTTAAATATGTTGTTGGGGATGTCTTCCCGAGTAATTTCATATACAGGGTGTCAGATTCGATATGGACAATCCCAAAGATTATAGTAGTTTGGGTTAAACTGAGAAGAAAAGTTATAT